TAAATTTATGGATAGTTGGGCACCCTATTAAATTTCAAATTGATTTTTTATTGTCTTTATGAAATTTATAAACCTAGATGTTAACTTCCAAATGTTGTTGAAATCACCTAAAAAGGATGTATAAAACTCAAGTTCTGATCAAATTAGTGAGTGAAAGCTAATGTGTCAGATTTAGGCTAAAACGTCGTGGTTTTGTAACTTTAAAAACAATAGATGATAAAATCAACTCTGGATGTCAACATAAAAGTTATAGGTAATAGTCTTAGATTTCTAGCAAAATTAAGATCAACTTGAACATGTATATATATCTCTAGATATATTGATAATATAAGTTGTAGATAATTGTCTTAGATAATATATTATTTAGTAAGATTATTTAGAATTTTTTTGTTAAATTTATTGATATGATACATGTGGGGTAGAAGGTGTCATACAAATTTATCAAACATTTCTAAATAAGATAGTACCAATATCTTGCACCTTGTAAGATTTGTTATTGTTAAGAAACATCACTCCACTTTCTTTGAGCTCCAAGGTCTCAAAGTAATCCTTCACAAGACACATGTAATATGTACATTTGGAATCTATAACACAATTTCCATTTTTTGCAATTGATGTTATCAACATATGTGCACTCTCATAAGTGATAACCACATAAAGGAACACAACATCCAATGAATCAACGAGCCTTTTCAACTTCTTACCTTTTCTTTGAGAGTAATATTTCTTGAAATGACTAATTTTAATGCAATTGAAGCACTTAAACTTTAACTTTTTGTTGCTTTTCAACTTTGATATGAATTTCTTTTCTTTGACCCTCTCTTCTCTCTAGGCTTGAGCAAATTTATCTAAACCTTTTGAAAATCGATCAACCCAAAATAAAACATGGTTGTTTTAATGGGTGAGTGGTGAATATCATATTAAAAAGAAGAATAGATCAATTACAAATGGATAAATTTGTGTTGTGCCCAATATGTGTGGGTATCCTCCAAAGTCCCACATCGGGTAGTTTTGAAGAAGGGAAGTGGTAGACTACTACTATAAATAAGGGGTGATAGTTTGGGTCTACTCACCACAACAACACTAGTTCTTGGGTGTATTGGGGACTTGGGTAGTTGTGTGTTAAGAGAAGGTTTGCAATTTTTCCGTGCAAAAATTGTGTGAGAGGGTTTGCAATTTTATCCTTGTAAAAATTGCAAGTGGAGAAATAAAATAATTTGTTGAGTGTGTTTGTGGATGTAGGCAAAAAGTTCCGAACCACGTTAATTTCTGAGTTTGTTTCTCTGTTTTTGTTTCTCTCGTGTGTGTGCTTCCACTATTGAAGTTTTCTTTTCCCTCTGGTACCCAACAGTGGTATCAGAGCCTGGTTGGTGTGGTGGGGCTCTGTGGGATTCTTAATTCTTAGTATGCTCTGTGGTTGCAGCATTGTCTGATCTTCCACATCAGAAAAGAATTGAGGTTTTGACCAAGGGAGGAAGAGAAGCAGTGTACCAGGGAGGAAAAGAAGCAGTACGTGGGCCAGAGCAGTACAGTGTTATGACTAGGGTTTCCAAGTTTCGCCAGAAAACTTGTGAGAGATGGTTTTCAAGTTTCACCATAAAACTTATGAGGAAGGGGTTTCCAAGTTTCACCCAGAAAACTTGTGAATGATGATGGATTAATGTAAGACTTTGGATGAAGGGAGGATATGTTGTTCCCAATGTGTGTGGGTATCCTCCAAAGTCCCACATCGGGTAGTTTTGACGAAGGGAAGTGGTAGGCTACTAATATTTATAAGGGGGGATAGGTTGGGTCTACTCACCACAACAACACTAGTTCTTGGGTGTATTGGGGACTTGGGTAGTTGTGTGTCAAAAGAGGGTTTGTAATTTTTTCGTGCAAAAATTGTGTGAGAATGTTTGCAATTTTATCCTTGTAAAAATTGCAAGTGGAGAAATAAAATAATTTGTTGAGTGTGTTTGTGGATGTAGGCAAGAAGTGCCGAACCACGTTAATTTTTTAGTTTATTTCTCTATTTTTGTTTCTTTCATGTGTGTACTTCTGCTATTGAAGTTTTCTTTTCCCTCTGGTACCCAACAATTTGAACTAGTGCGGGTTACAAAACTAAAGTCCATATGAATTTACACCTAACCAAAAGCCAAATAAATTAAACAACTTTCACTATTAGAGTTAGGAGCTTGCTTTTCTCTATTAAACCATTTTACAAGTTACATTATCATTCATAAGTGATTACCAATAGAAACAAAAACATATAGTCCAAAGCATTATATCTCTTGCCTCTCCCTTTTCATTGTGAATGTCACCTTTCATTGCTAGCAATGGTTTTGGAAATTCATGTCAAACCTTATATTGCTACAATGGGTCTGGAAAACAAATAAACAAGTCATTTATATTTTATCTTCTACATGACAGTCACCTTTCATTGTTAATGGTTTTGAAAGCTCATGCCTTTTTCCCCATTTTTTTAGCCACAATGTCATAACATGTTCTCTTTCATAAGAGCTACAACTCCAATACTTCTTAGACAAACTTCCTTCTCATCAACAATAGTTACAACTCTTTTATTCACACCCAAGAAAGAAGAATAAGCATATTCGCCACAACCCACCTGAGCAACCTACACACCTAAACCCAACCAAATTGAGAGTCTAAATCGCTCGAAATTGGTTTTAGTTTTTGCATGTTACGGTTTACAATGAGTTAAGGATTTTGAGATCTTAACAATTTTGAATCGTTCAATGATCAACCATACTTCTCACTCCTCTCCCTCAAGACATTCAAGCCTTCATAATAGGAGTGTTCATAATCAATCAAGTCCAATGTAAACTGCATAAATCGAATAAGAAAAATTGAAAATCGAATAAATCATTTTTTTAATTGGATTAGGTTGATTTTTGTAACTATTGTCTTTTTTTGATTTTATTTGGTATTCCATATTGTGTTAAACAATGTAGTGACTACAAAGTACTTAAAAATTTATTGGTTTACTTATTATTATTTTTTTAAGTTGGTGATTTTATCATGTTATTAACTATTGATAGATTATCTCAATTTGTAATTTTATATATCATAACTTATATTTATTATAAATTAATTAATTAATAATATTAATAATCATTTTTTCCATAAAAATATTATAAAATGTTTGAAAATTTGAAAATTTATCCAATTCAAATTGAGATATATTTAAATTAGATTAGATCGGATGAAATTTAATTTTATTTGATTTTTAAACCAATTCAATTGGATGGTCAATGAACCAAACTAAAAACATTGGATTAGATGATATTTTATCTCAAAATCAATCCAATCCAATATGCTAACATCCACCCACAATATCCTCAATTTTTAATTTTTGTTAATTTTAAAAACTGTTAAAGGGTTTGGTGAGCCTAATGGTTTAGTTTAATCCCTATTTTCATGATTATCTCTATGAAAGATGGGTGTTTGCATGATAAGGTTTAAAGACATATTCTCTCACAATATCTTTTACCTATATATATATATATATATATAAATTACTTGATAATTTAAAATATAGTAAAGAATATATATTATGAATATTTTCCCACAATATTTTTTCTTAATATAATATATATAAACATTTAAAATGTAGTAAAATTATTATATTATGAATATTTTCCCACTAAATTATATATGTAAACACTGTCTCCACAATTTAAAATTGTTGGATCCATCCCTTCCCTTCCCTCCCCGTCATATAAGAGTGCCGTTGTAAAGGAAACGTTCATCTTCCTACATCTATATGAGGGGCATTTCTTAAACTAGAAAAACTAATCAGTAAGAAAAAAAATCATAACCATGTCTTTGTAGGACTTACTATATTTATCAATTAATCCAACAATCAATTTTATCAATATTTTACGTTTGAAAATATAATTTGATAAATTTCAACTTTTAATTAACAACTTTAATCAAGTTAATTAATTAATTTATTTTTTATCTTTCGACTATATTTTTTTTAAAACTTAATTACTTAATTTATGAGTTATTTTTATTTTCAAATATTATTTTATAGCAGTTGTATGAGCATTTAAGAATCCTGTGTCACAAATAGTGTTGAATATTTTGATTAAATGAAATTGTATTAGAATGAAAACATCATCTTTTACTTTAACTTTATTTTTATTCTTGAATGCCCATAAAGGCCAATTAACCTAACAATAATATTAGCACCTATTACATTTATAATAAAGAGGATAAGTATTAACTACTTTTTGTCTTAACGTTTTAATGAATTACTATATCCCTTAATTGTTAAGAAAAAAAAATCACATGTTCTGTGAATAATTATACACAATTATCCATTAAATTTTTTTTTTAATTTTTAAAAAGTTAAAAGACATGAAGTGCTTATTTTTTTACTGGTATGAAAAAAAAACACTAACAGTAATATAGAAGTGTTGACCGAAGAATTTGTGATCGTTCATATTTGACCTAAAAAATATTATATGTAATACAAAAAAAATTTAAAATTGACCTAATCAGTACCAGATATAATTTAAGATAAGATTAGATTAATTCTATGATTGATATAATATATAATTTTTAATGTGTGTATAAATCATAGAATTAAAGAAGGATAGAATTATAATTAAAATATGTTTTATTATATATATTTTAACCTCTCAAAAAATATTGTAAAATAAATAGTATCAATATAATAATTTATATAAAATATCATCTATTAAGGTTTTAAGTCAATTTTCTATTATAAATACATAATTATTCTAAAAAAACTATACATCTTAAAATAATATAGAATAATAAATTATGTTGAAACATTTCAAATTTGTCATCAAAATATATCAAATTTAATTTTTAAAATCCAAACATTAAAATTAACTTGAGTCTGACAACAGGCCATTAGCACGCATAAGTATTATGTAATTTATAGCTTTTAAATTATTCCATAACAATAGAAAGGTGACATAAACAAAGTAAGATAATTTCAATGAAATATAATGCAATTTTGAAAATTTCTAGACACGGTTAATTTCGTAAAAAAAAACAAAAATATACAAGTAACTCACTCTTTCAGAATCCTCAAAAATAAAAAATATTTACATAAAAAAAAACTCCTTCTTTTAGATGGTGTTTCACAAGCAAGGATAACAACACAATAGTATTATTTGTTTATATAATCCAAGCAAGAAACAGCTAAAAGTCTAGCGATAAAGTCGGTTTAACATTACATGAGTCCAAACTAGAATCAACTGGACAATGTGCAATCCAAACTACAAACAGAATAATATTATACAACCGTCCTTCGAGCTCAAAAAGGAAGCTCATAACGGATGGACCATTAAAAAGGAAATCACAAAAACGTTTCCTTATGTCTTGTCCATGCTAAACTACAACTACTGCATAATTAAACAACAAATAGTACAAAAGAGCAAAGAGAATAATGATAATAATAAGAAACCCAAAATCAGAAAACTATTATTACTAGGAACAAAGAAAGGTAAGGCCCACCAAGTATGAGCCAGATGCTGAAAGGCCCGTTAAAATATGCAGCCTTAATACAGCAGAAATATGGATTTTTCAGGAAATGAAATTAATTCCTTCAAGGATCCATGATTCACAGGTTGTGGTTGAAAATATCTGCAACCTGTGAGAACAAAATAAAATTGGTTGGGTGTGGCTATCAATTTTGTCCTGGTATGTGAACGTGGCGAAGCTTCAATAACCGACCAAGATAGAATATCTGAAGGGGTTGTAGTTATCAATTCAGGAGAAGAAAGAAAACTCAAAGGAATATCCGACAAACCGGGTTGGTCATGTGGTTAGCTAGACATTTGGCTACGCTCACACGTCGTAGAGATGATCTATTTAACAAGAAATTTTGTGTTTAATCTTCATCATCATGTATTAAAAACCCTTTAGATTAACGACAGTGACTCACAGTACTGTGAGTGGCATTAAATTAAGCTGAAATACCCGTGACAGAATAAATAAAAAAGAAGAATCTCTGACTATTGGAATATTCGCAAAGACTCAATACGAGGTGAATGTGGACTGAACTGAATCTGTATGAAGCGTGAGAGATGTATTGTCGAAGAAAATGTCTTTATTTGGCCGATATGAGACTTTATACTATAGTTGTCTTACACTAACAAAAGTGAAGGACTAACGCTAATCTTAGACATGATTTTAATCTTGACCCTTAAAAGAAAGGTCTCATGGGACAAGAGGAAGAGGGAGAACCTGGTCCTGTGTTGTTACCTTCTTGTTGTGTCTGATTAACACCAGCATCATGAAACTCTTGCTGATTTTGATTCACAAAGGGAAGCTGTGAATGTAAAAGAAGATCATCCCACACAGGACTCCCAGGACCCCAACCTGCAGGAATTGCATTGAACCACTCTCCCCACACCAGTTCCTGAGGCTGTGAATTTCCTTCTTCAGTTTCAGCATTCTCTTCTGTTACCGTTGGTGGCATGTCCTCACTCTCAGTGTTGGTCTCTTCTGGAATCACTTCAGGTTGCTTTGATGTTGATGTTGAACCTTCGGCATTAACAGGAGCAGTAGTGGATGATTCTGCTTTATCTTTGTTGAGAAAGAGTTCAGGGAAATTGAGCTTTGCATTTTCTCCTCTGAGCTTGAAGGCTTCACGATCATAAGCCATAGCAGCGTCTTCAGCAGTGTCGAACGTTCCAAGCCAAAGACGAGTTCTATTGCGAGGGAGACGAATCTCAGCGACCCATTTGCCCCAATGGCGTTGCCTCACTCCTCTATAGAGCTTGGTGGCATTCAAAGGCTGTACTTGGGGCCTCAACATTGGTCTCCCTTCAGTCCTATTCACCATCATCATCATCCTCCCTCTTGGACTTAGATTCAGTGCATCGCTCCAGTACTGAAGTAGCTGTTGCTGTTGCTGGTGCTGATGGTGCTGCTGATGATGATGTTGGAGGTGTTGGTGTGGCATGGTGGAATCCGGGGCTATGAATGGTGGATACCCCATGTTGTGTTGGGGGCCAAAAGATATCATTTGCTGAGTTGGGTGAAGAGGTGGAGGAAAAAGAGGCAAGTTTGGTGTGGTTCCAAAAGGGTGAGGGAATGGCATTGGGTGTTGAGAGCCTTCAAAAGCGAAAGGGAAGACTATTCTTGATGAGGGAGGTTGAAGAGATAGAAGTGGTTGATTTGGGTTTTGGCGTTGGGGGCTGCGGATTTTCTTGAGTGGTCTATGTGAGACGGAAGCATCATCAAAAGGTGGCTTCCATTGCCTCCTCTCTGAGCTCAAAGCAAGACCCTTTCCCTTTTCTTTCTCCCACTCTTCACTTTCAGCAAACACCTTGTGATCATGAGACTCGTGAAGCCCCTCCATGGTAGAACTTCCAGTGCTATTTGGCATCATCAGCACCAAGAACAAACCTCCTTTGACTCACTCTATTGAGGTAGAAGGAAAGGAGAGAGTGTGAAGGCTTATGGTGGTGAAAGCAGGGGAGGGGTTTATATGAGAGAGGGCAGAAAGGGGTTGAAATCAAACTTTTTGGAGTTAATGCAGTGAGAGTTGGAACAAGTCTCGTCACTGGTTGGCTACAGTGGGTCCCACACTCTCTCTATTGGGCTGACTCATCTATGTGGTTACGTTTCGCTCATTCACCCACTCTGTCCCTTTCCTTCCTTTCGGGGTTTCCTCTTCAACTTTCCAACTGTTGCAAATCCACCAGGGAAAAACAGTTATCAACTGTTTGGTGTCAGTGCCAGCCTCAACCAAACAGGACTTTCTTTTTCTCTTCACTTCTCCATCAATCCATTTTCCTATATCTCAAGTCTCAAAAATGCAACATGTTTCACGTTCTAAGGAGTTTTAAAAGTTTCTCCATCAAAAATACTTTTAATTTTTAATAAAAACAAGTTTTTAAAAACCCCATTATCTAATTAGACAAGGTGACTAGATTATAGACTAGTCGAACTCTAAAAAAATATTAAAAAAGAAATAGGTTAACCAAATTAGACTGAACCATTAGGCTTTAGATTAAAAACTTACAAAGTTTATTTAGTAGGATATTTTGTAATAAGAATAAAAATAAAATTAAATAGATTGATTTAACTTCGATCGGACAATAAAAAAATTAGGTCGAATTACAAAATAAATAACTCTTAAGAAACTTGGAACAGACGGAGCCAACATACATACACGTATTGTCCTAAATGGTTGAGTCATTTGAGAGTTTTACTTGTAAACTCCTTGCCGCATTCTCAAGTACGAGTTTTAGGTTCTGCATTAGTTGAAAATTAATAAATATAAAGAATGTAATATAATTAAACATTTAAACAAATTTGTATTCTTAATGTTTTAAAGTTTTGAGCAAAGAGTTGTCACGTTTGTTCTTATGTTTTATTGCTTGATTCATTGATGCACGTCTTCTTTAGGATTTTTCCAATTTCTACTAAGTGATATATATGATGATATCTAAGTCGATGTTTCTGTGGGGGGGCAATGATTTCTTGGTTTGTCTATTGAGTACTTAGAAATGGTAATTAGTGCGAGTTTTTGGTTTCAAGTCATGTTTGTGGAGCACGCTGTTGCTACTTCTCTTTGTTAAAAATCCTATGAATACAAATATAATTCAGAAACAAGCTTGTACTTTAAATATGTAGTTTAGAATCGAATTTTTAGGTTTGTATATATGAAAAAAAAAATCCATCTCTTAAATAATTTTTTTAATTGGATTTTAATTTTTGACTGCATAGTACACAGAATCCACTAAAAAAAATTTGTTTTTGAGTGGTTTATATTTTGGAGACTTGTGGCTTAAGGAAAGACGTGTTAATGTGGCAGCTCGGTAGCACTTGACGAAAAGAAGGGGAAAGGGAAACATAGTAATATGAGAAGTCATTGTTGTAAATAGTTATAAAGGGTTCGAAAATTCCAGTACCTATTTTTGATGTCAGACAGATTATAAACTTGTACCGTACTCTTTCCTGGGCCACTGACTTGCCTCATGGGGTCATATACTAATAGTGGTATAGTTGGTTTCTCAATGTAATTTTGTCTTTCAATTTTTGTTTCCCTATTTTTTGAAAGTGATGAGAGAATCGGTTTCAATTCATAACATGTTTATATAGATATATATTCAAATTAAAAACATTTTTCTGAATTTCTATATTAAAATAAAGAGTATTTTTTTGATTAAAAAATCTCTAAACTTTTATTTAATAAGGTCATAATAGTGAGTTGTGTTATTTAATCTTATAACCCATTTTATTCCTTACATAGAAGTTTCTGAACGTGGCATGTTGTTTCTCCTTCTCTCTAGAATTCTCATGGGTGTTTTCCACCACTCCATGTTCTGGAAATAAAGAGAAAATTAAAGACATATCCATATTGTTGTTTCATTGATTTGTGTCTGTGTTTGTGATGGTAGAAGGTGGAAAACATCCATATGTCTTATGTATGCCTGCTATGCATCCATAAGCATATGCTTGAAAGGGTGTTGATGGTACGTAGACAGGGAAACAATGGCCCAAAGGCTGTGTCGGGAACAGCTTATTTAGATCAACTTTCAATTTCATACGTATTGCTGATTTCCGGCATAGACAATGAACTTCAATTAATGACAGCATTTTTGTTTTCCACTCAATCTATCCATCATAAACTTCAACCCCCCAAAAACAAAATCTGTCTATATTTTTTTTTATCCTTGATACCACTGGAGATACAGTGAAAATGATAATCATAGTGTAAAGTAAGAAACAATCATTAACTAAGTTTTCTAAAATTGATTTAAGTTGAATCTCACTTTTTAAGAAATACTTATATATATATATATATATTTATTTATTTATTTAAAAAAACTTATTTTTACCGTATACTGAATATATTTCCTTTTTTATATAGTTTTTATGAATAAATGTAAAATAGAAAAAATTATCAAAAAATTAAAACTAAAACATAATTTAAATCCAAGTGTAAAAAGAATCTTAAGTTTTAATTAGACACATTATTCAAAACAAATCAAGATAAAAAGATAATTAATTATCAAATTAAAAAATTATTGTGATGTTACAGTATTCCTGTCAATATAAACTAACTGAGTTGTAAAGATGTTACCGAATAAAGAATTAATTATGATTTTTAAATTATGATATTGTCTTTAAAAGGGATATTTTCAACTCTAGAAACTTAATTAATTAAAAAATTGACAAAATTATTGGTACATACGGATTAATTTAACCTAACTACGTAGATCGGATCTATGTACTAAGAAATTTTAATTTAATGGTCAAATCGATGAAATTTGATGTAAAACATGAGTTATTGAATGAAGTAAGTCTAAGTAGACTTATTGTTAAAGTATAAAGTATAAGTATAAAGTATCTATAGTCAAAAGTAGTAACTAATCTCCGTGATTTGTTAGAGATCATGATTACACACGAGATAAATATTCTTCTTCCAATATGGTCAATTTCATATAAAAGGTCGAGATTCTTACCCTGCACAGTTTGATTAAAGGACATAAGTATCTTATTCTCAAGATTTTTAATTGAATTTTCAAATAAAAGATTTTAATTTATTTGAGACAAAAAATCCAAAATAATATATATATATATATATAATTTTTTGAATTTATTATCTAGTCAACTAATTTTTTTAAAATTATTTTAATTAAAACTAATTAAAATTACAAGTAATTATTTTATCAATTAAAATAAATTTTTAAAAACTTTGTAAAAATTAAAATTTTAATTTACTATATATTTTATATATTTATATTTTTCATAATCAATAATCAAAAGCAAGCGTGTGTGTGTGTGAAAATTTTAACTATTAAAGTTGATTTAATAATAAAGAATTTGAGTAGTACGTACCACATTTAAAGGTCTAATCTTGTTATGGTGATTTTACACATACACATATAATATATTGTAAGGTAGGGTATTCGATGAGAGTAATAGCTTATTGACTGAGTTGTACTTTTGGTCTCTTTATTTTTTGACAATCCATAATTTTGTTGCTATATTTTAAAATAGAAACATTTAGTTTCTCTATTTTTAAAAATATGAAATTTTTATCCTCATATCAAATTGGCATTCATTAATTATTAAATTTTAACGTTTATTCATACTTAAGTGATGTGACATTTATTGATAAGATATTCAGAGATAAAAAAAAAAACAAACAAATAAGATTTATTAATAAAATAAATACTAATCACTCATTAAAATTGTTATAACTATAAGTTCACTGATATCATTAAGGTCACCACGTTCAAAGTATTGTATGTTTTAATGCTCATTGAGTTATTACGATTTTATCCTTAAAAGGACAATTTGATGGATTAAGGAGGGAAAAATGTTCATAAATTACCCTTAGTCTCTATTCTTAAGCTATGTGAGACTTTTAAGTATATCAAAACAAGTCCCCAGTCGAGCCTAAGGGGGAAGAGTGGCTAGAGTCCTCCTTTTAATGTCAATGTTCCGACCATAAGTCTACTAATATTGTTAGGATTATCATGTTCAAGGTATTGTCCACATTAGAACTTGTTGGGTCGTTACAGTATTGTCCTTGAAAAGCAAGTCAGGCGAAGCATACAATTGTTCTTAACATCTATGACTGACGCTTTTAAATTTTCAAATGAATGTTTTATACCTTAACATATCAAAAGCCATTGTCTTGAAACTCACATTCTATTAAAAAGTGTATAACAACATGTAGAGAATCAAAACAAAAGTCCTTTAAAATCCTAATCCAATACACCCCCTTAGTGTCTAATTTGAAGAAACGTTGTGCAGGGCTGCTATGAAATAACCAATCAAGAAAAATTTAGGTCGTTCTTTATTTTAGGTATTTGAAACTCTTATTTCTTAAAAAAAAAACGAAACTCTTATTATTTACATTTATTTTATTTTTAATTTGGTAGGCTTGTTTGCGGATAGGGATGCGATGTTGTCTTTATTTATAATAGGCTTGTTTGCAGGGTTTCATGATGTTTTTAAAGCATTATGTACTTTCTTTCCTTTTGACCTTGAGAATATCATCTAATATTGTTGAACATGTTTTGGTCCGAAAAATTCCATCCAACACAAAATAGAAAATATTGATTTTATTATTCTTATGATGTAATATTTGCTTCTTCCAAATAGTAGCAGTAAAATATTCTCTTTTATTTATTGTGTTGGTTACTTGGGTAGATTGTCTCTAGGATAAAACCTCAAATCATCTTACTGTAAATGGAATTACCTTAATTGGTTGAACAACAAGAAGCATTATTATCTGAAAAGCCTTTCACATGGTACAAAAGAAAGAATAAATTTTCAGCAAATGTACTTCTGTATAACTAAAAATCACCCAAGTTTGAATTTAAAGGATTGAAATGTTTTGGTTAAAGTACTAACAATGTGTTTGGGGCAATAGACGATTTAGTAAAAAAAAAAAAAAAGTTATATATGCTACAAATGTATATAATATATATTTTTTTACTTAATCATAATAAATATATTCGCAATTTTAGATTCTATTACT